ATTAACTTATTAAGTACAACGATAAATTGCCTAATTAAATGCAAGCTCAGCCATACCCCACTGTTTAAAGGGTCCACACTAACGTTGTGGATATGATTCCATGATGATGTTTCAGTTGATGATTGATTGATACTCACGTGCATCACTTATGTTGCGCCATATTCTAAAATGTATTTGAAACAAGCAACTTGTTCCTTGTTGATTAGGAAGAAGCCTCAACAAAAGGTGTTGTCCACTAGATGTAACCGCTCTTGCTTTGAGAAAATGCCAGCTTCTTGTTGTCAATAGGTGTCCGCCCAATTGTGGTCCATCGATAACTTCTAGACGTTCCTGCAGGTAACATCCTTGCCTAGCGGGTGAAGTCAATTCTATAGACAGGTTGATGAAGGTTTTAGATGGCGCAGTGAGGTTCCACAAACACTTGATGTCGGAAAGGTTTCCGCGAATATCTTGTTTTGTCAATGAAATGTTGAATGTGCCATTTCCTTGGAGCAGCTTCTCTGGAACTAATTATCCGTAGTATAAATGAAAGAATTGGTAAATCAAATTAATCAGAGAATATCATGACTAGGACGTACCTTGTTTAATGGCAGCAAACGTTGCGCGAAATGCATTCCTTTTTGTCCAAAATTGATTATGATATTGATTATAATATTTCTTATAAGTTTCAAATCGTAACCACATGAAACGGCCAGAGGAAAAGACGGGGCATCTTTGATTTGAACCACAAAGTTTGACCAATAAGGGATCCGTTGAATTTGTACCATCTCTGGCTGCGAAGTAACCCTTACAGTTGTTGTTTGTATGTATGACAAAATGCGAAAACTGGAGACGGACCACATGACCTTCTGGGGCAGTGATAAGCCATGTACAAACCTGGTTTGGTAGCGAGAAACTGGGAAACAACGGTGAAGTGAAATGCCTGGAGCTGTTTGTTGCTGACAAATTGACTACGGTTGATTGGCATTCTGAAAATATGAAAGAAAAACTGCGTAAAACAAAAATGTACCCAGGTTCCCATTAATGGTGGATGCCAACTGTCATTTTTTTAGTGGCTGGCATTCAACGTCTTAACAACATGACCAATGATTATGCGTGCTGGAAGGAAAATGATATTAATATTGATGTCGTAACTTACTTCTATCGTTTCTGTGAATTGCTTGAAAAGACGCTTCAAACTCAAATTTATGAGGTACTTTATAGTGCCAATCGTATCGTAATGACATATAACGATTTGTTGAGATGAAATATGCTTTTCCGTCCATGCCACAACGCCATGGAATCTTATGTTTGGCATATTTGGCATATTTAGAGTAATACACAGCTAATCTAGACGAAAATTTCTTGCAATGCCATACAGGCCACGACGACTGGAATACTAGGTGTACCAAGTGGTCATGTGGTACAGATATACTCCACCAACAAGTAACCCTCTCCAATGGCGGTGGACCAACAATTGATTTGTTTTTGGATACTTCATATTGAAGGTTGAAGGACAACACTCCAGGTGCTTTGAGGTTTAGAGGGTGCAACTTTGAACAACCTTAAAAGAATTATATGCTATTTAGTGTGGAGAATTGGACAGGAAATGCACTTTGAAAAGTAATGCATGATCACCATGAGGATTATATGCACCACCAAACAATCTACCTTGCGAACGGAGTGGTATGTTCATTACCTAACTAAAAATTCGCGAAGGAAATAAATTTTTAGCGAGTGAGATGAGGTAAATAACATTCTGTTCGTAGGGTTCAAATAATCATTTTGGACGGTTGAACAACAAATCTCGTATTTGAAACCCTTGAATTGAGAATCCCTAAAATTCAAAAATACAAAAAGTATAGGGGCAAATCCTGTCCGATGGGAATGTGCAATAATACCTTCCTTCTGCGATGTTGTAAAATTTCTAA